CTATCTACAGAGAAGAGATAGATTTTGATAGATAGATCTTTGAATTCTATTCGAGTATAGTATTTCTACATTAAAAGAGTCAAGATAGTAGTACTCGAAGGACTTTATAGCCTTGTAGCTAAACTAGCTACATGTAAATAGTATCCACGTGATGGAGTCGATCAAAAAGGTGCTTTACTCTTATTTTTTTCCGATTCTTGTTGTAAATCGTATATGATATAAATTTTAAGAGCAATGCAACCAAAAGTCTGCCAATTACGTATATAGTCGCGTTAAGTTATGCAGAACTTTTGAATCGTGATAGATAGTTATGAGAAATAGCTTAATTTTGTGCAAATGTCAATTTTACATACACACATTGTTTATCTCATTTTTATCGAATTTTTGTACATTAAATAATATATTAGACATGCATCAACAATACACGAAGAAGTAATTTTTTTAGCGATCAGAGAAACGTGCTGAGAGATCTTTCTCAAATTTAATTTATTGGACGCAATTTGTAATTCGTCATATGAAAATTTATATGTGATTTATATAAGGATAATAATGAATAAATGTTGATTTAATATTATTTTCCAAAATATGTCTCTATTAGAAAAGAAGATGACAAAGGGAGCTTATGGGTTAATTCTTATTCATTGCCGCAAAACAATATATTAACAATATATAACTTGTGTTATTTGTACGTAATGTGAATACAAGTTTGTTTACTTTTTTTTCTTAATGTAGCAGGTTTATATGGTGGTCTTGTAGTAAATAGTCTAATAATTTTTGTCACTATTGCAGTTTTTTGTGTCAATAATTGAGGGAATAATTTTTTTTATACTATTGGAATACAGCGTGATGTTTAAAACAGAGAATCAAATTTGAGAATAATTGGAAACAGAAATTAATAGTCAGACTGTCTATAGCATTTCATGAATTTCTGGCTCATCATCAGAGCACCTATCATAGAACAAATCAGAATAGATTCCAATGGGAATTATTCCATTTTCTCTAAAAAACACAATAGAAACCTAGAAAATAATTGAATAATTTAGAATCGAAATCCATTCCAAATAATTCCATAATACCTTTTTTGTATCATCGAATGCAATATATGTTTTGCACCGTCGCATTCGACGGTGCAAAAAAAGTACTCAATTGCAATTTGATACAAAAAACTGCATGCACATCGTTAATAACAAAATTGTACTGAATATATTCGTTAAACTTCCTATTACACTACTACACATCACGCCACCGTAGAAATCTATAATATTGCTACGTTAACAGAAAAAAATTTAGTGTATAAATTTTTTATCCACACCGTGTGTGTGTGTGTGTGTGTGTGTGTGTGTGTGTGTGTGTGTGTGTGTGTGTGTGTGTG